AAATGCAGATTATGATTCAGGAGATTTGGGGGAGAGCCTGAGATTCTGCGTTTCTAACCAGCTCCCCGGTGACGCAGACACTGGTGGCCCACGGGGCACACACTGACTGGTGTGATCTAAGAAGGCGCCGGGATGCCTTTCTCAAATTTCACCCCCTTTTCTCCTCCAACAAGTGGTAAGCACTAGTCCAAATTTTGTGTCAGTCACTTCTTGCTTTATTTTAAATAGTTCTTACCACCTGTGAGTGCATTTCTAAATATTATAATTGTTCAGTTTTGTCTGTTTTTTTTTAAATTAAAAATTAAGAACATTTTAATACAATTTCTAAAGGTTACTTTCCATTTACAGCCATTACAAAATATTGGTTCTATTCCCTACGCTGTACAATACATCCTTGAGGCTGTCTTACACCCAGCAGATTGTACCTCCCACCCCTCAAGCCTTATAATGCCTCTTGCACCCCCTTGCCCCTCTCACTGGTAACCGCTAGTTTGTTCTTTATATCTGCGAGTGAGTCTGCTGCTTTTTGTTATATTCACTGGCTTGTTGTATTTGTGATTCCACGTATAAGTGATATCATACAGTATTTGTCTTTGTCTGACTTATTCCACTTAGCATAATGACCTCCAAGTCCATTCATGGTACTGCAAATGGCAACATTTTGTTCTTTTTAATGGCTGAGTAGTATTCCATTGTATAGACATACCACATCTTCTTTATTCATTCATCTGCTGATGAGCACTTGGGTTGCTTTCATACCTTGGCAATTGTAAATAATGCTCTGTGAACGCTGGGGTGCCTGCATCTTTTCAAATTAGTGTTTTTGTTTCTTTCGTATATTTATCTAGGAGTGGAATTGCTGAATCATTGCCTGCTTTTAAACTTTATATAAATGGAATAAAACTGTGTGCATTCTTCTGTTACTTCCTTATTTCACTCAATCTTATGTTTTAGAGACACATTGATTTTGATGCATAGACCTGTAGTTTATTTATTTTTCCCTCTGTTTAGTTTCTATTGTATGAATATGCTCTATTTTATTCATCTGTTTCTACTGTTGACAGATGTCTGTGTTGCTTCCACTTTTTTTTGTGACCAGTGCTGCTCTAAGCATTTCTGGTACATGTTTCATAATGCTTAGCTTAGATCCTCTTTTCTTCATCAGTAAAAGGAAGATAACAACATACACCTCATAAGATATTGCCCATTCAGAGAGAAGGACCTGCCACTGTCCAAATGACATTGACTTAGCTTACTTCAGATGTCACTTTAACCAGTATTGTTCTTGGATGTAGGTCAGTGGAGGATGCATCTCCAAATGATGCAGTAAACAATGGAGAGATGATGGGAGCCCTCAGAGAGGCAGCCTGGGAGATAGGAGAGGGCTGTATCATCTAGTGAAAAATACCCCAAAGCCCCAAATTCCTAAGGCTTATTGTTCTGGTTGAGGTAACTTGAACACCTTTTCATAAACAACCCCCAAATTCCAGTGGCTTAACAAGATAGAGTTTATGTGTTATTCCTTTGTTCCCAGTTAGAAGGCAGCTTTTGTCCACTGATTTAGGAAACCAGGCTCCTTCCACTTGGCTCTTCTATGCCCTTGGGCCCTGCAGTCCCCTGCTTGCGTCTGTTAGCAGAGGAAATGGACAGTCAAGAGGTCCTAACACTCACACACTTCTTAAAAGTCCATGCCTTGAAGTGAAATCTCTCTTGCAATCACATTTCTTTGGTTAGACTTGCGCATTTGGCCACATCTGTGTGCAAGGGGGCCTCCGAAATGTAGTTCTGGGTTGGGCTCCCACCTGCCAGCTGGTCATTATGGAAGGGAAGCCACAGTCATACACGGTGTTAACCCATGAAGGCAACCTTTCCCACCTTCGTTAAGACAAAGCTGGTGGCACTGCCATCTTATGATCCCATCCCCACTTAGGTGACACGGTGCTCCTGTTCATGTGAATTCTCCTCTTCATGCTCACTTTAACTGTGGATCACACACAATAGTGAAGGGACGAGGCAAGAGGACATAGTTTTCTCACTTCTTGGCTTTTGTCATGCTTTTCCCTCCATTAGGAACAGGCTTCCAGACTAAACTGTGAGCTCTGGGAGGAGAATTGAATACCTTGTTCGTTCTTGAATTTAGAGCTAGATTGAGGCATGTGGATCAGTGCTTCTCAGAATTTAATGTGCACACCAATCACCTGGGGGTCTTGATAAAATGCACATTCTGATTTGGTAGGTCAGGGGTGGGGTCCCAGATTCTACATTTCTCAAAATTCTCAGGTGATTATGGTGCCACTGATCTGAGGAAAACAGGCATGTAGTTGCCCATCATTTATTTATTCAACATATTTTTCAGGTGCCTATAAAGTGCTAGGCACTGTCTTAGACGTTGAGGATGCAACAGTTAATGGGACAGGACACTAATTTGGCACTCCTCAGATTGAAAGGACAAATATTTGTTCAACATTTATATAGCTGGGGTGGACAGCAACTGATATCTATTCATTTAAAATTGTGCAGTAGAGCTGTGTCATATGCACACTTAACTTGTATTTTTTTGTTTTCTGACTTTCATGTTTTCAAAATGCTTTCCTTTTTGTGGCTTCTTATTCTCTCTTCAGGAATGTATGTGTTTGTGGGTACCAACTCTCGGGGGTTTAAACTTAGATAAGACTGCTCCTGGTAAATACTACTGTGTTGTGCATTATTTATTTTTGGAATTCAAGGGAACTATGACCTCCAACTTCAGGCAACTGTCAACTAGCTGGTCTCAGAGTTAGTTATACTGTTCACAGTGGCACCATGAACGTAGGTGTGTGATTCAAAACATACTTGACAGAGGTAGTTCAGCATAGACAAAGGATGTTTAAAGTTTTCTACCCAAAGAAATAGCCCTCCTCAATTATGCAGAAACAGGAGTTAACCAGCACCTTATTTCGGATTTAATCTATTGGTCTCATCAAATGTCCAGTTAGTCAGTGACAGATGTAAAGCTATCTATTTACTAAATCTTGTTTAGTTTTCCTATCTTTGAATAAAAAGATGGCCAGTCTCCTTTGCAATTATGTTTAAGCCTAGACTGATATCAGGCTAATGGTGTGTATGTTGAAGTGATGTGAGCCATCCCATCCTCAGGTCAGGTAATTAGAAGCAGTCTATGTGACCTCCTTGATCATTTTCCCTACCATTGAAGTCTTGCAGGGCACTGCAGGTTGAGGTGGTGACACTGTAAGATGAAAAGGGTCCAGACAGATGGATGAAAGTTGCCCTGGAGAGTCACTGATCTGTCTCAAGTTTAGCATAGGTGAAAGCCTTTGTGGTGTTGACTTACGGACATTGTGGGGTTTATTTGTTACTGTAGCATAAGCTATCTGACTAACACATGTTCTGACTATTAATCTGGGTAGGGCCTGCCACACTGTGTTGTGCCTAATTGCCTCATAAATGTTTTTACAGATTAGTCAATTAGATTAATTTTTACCAGATTTCTTCACGATAATGTTCCCATCCTGACCTCACTGCGGACGTGTACTGAAATCAGTCTGGGTTTATTAGTTACAGGAATGTGGAACATAGGAGGAATTTAGTAAATATTTACTTAATGAAACAAGACAAAAGTAAGAAAATTTCACACCTAGTTTGCTGGGAAGGAATTTTTTAATTATTCATTTTTAGGATAAAATATCAAACGTACATGCTCATTAAGGAAAGTTTTGTAAAATTTTTGAGAAAAATAGAGAAACATTTTCCCATTGTGCTACCACTCTGTAACAACCACCATTTACATTTTCAGTGTGTTCTTCCCAGGCCTTTCCCACTTATGTTTATCACATTATTGCAATCACACTCTGGATGTTCTGGCTTGCTGTTTTCTGAGTTATTATGTAGTCTTCATAAGCATAACACTTATTGGTTACAGTATAATCCTTCTAGGGGATGAACCTTTTAATCTTTCCCATCTTTGAATGTTTAGATTTCTTCTAAATTTTTATTTTCATAAATGACACTGTGATAAACCTGCTTGTCTAGTAATATTTTCTATATTTAGAATCACATCCTTAACATTGATCTGCAAACAGAATTTTTAATAATCCAAAAATCTCAGGGTGAAGCCAGCTCAATTCAGATAAACACTTTGCATTACCTTAAGAGCATGCCCTCCAGTCCAGTGTTCAGCCCTGAATTAGGTGAATTCAGCTTCTTCATTTGTGTGATTCTTTAAAACATGTCTAATCATCATGTTATATGTATATGTAAAGATGTTTAGGCCAAATATAATTTTTTGAGTCGGTCTCCTAAAGCACAGTATCTTATTTAATGCTGTAACTGACTTAATATCACACACACGCACGTGCATGCACACACACACACTTGAGAATTACGCAAC